TGAATCACCTCTATTGTATCAACTCCTTGGTATCACCTCCCTTGTATAACTTACCTCATATCTCCTCTTGAATCACCTCTATTGAATCAACTCATTCGTATCACCTCCCTTGTCTTACTAACCTTGTATCTCCTCTTGAATCACCTCTATTGTATCAACTCCTTGGTATCACCTCCCTTGTATAACTTACCTCATATCTCCTCTTGAATCACCTCTATTGAATCAACTCATTCGTATCACCTCCCTTGTATTACTAACCTCGTATCTCCTCTTGAATCCCCTCTATTGTATCAACTCCTTGGTATCACCTCCCTTGTATTACTAACCTTGTATCTCCTCTTGAATCCCCTCTATTGTATCAACTCCTTCGTATCACCTCCCTTGTATTACTAACCTTGTATCTCCTCTTGAATCCCCTCTATTGTATCAACTCCTTGGTATCACCTCCCTTGTGTTAGCGGTGTTAGGATGCAACTTGTACACACCATCAGAACAAGCAAGTCTAGAAACCTGATATGTTTATCCTACATCAGTTGTCCTACTTGAAATGTGACAGGAACAATCCCTCCTAGCATACTGTTCATGTCAGGATTCACTTATAATGTTTCATGCCTCATAAACAACGGAATATACACATAATATCACCTAGTATAACATATAATATCGCCTCCGCTGCGTTCCTATTAAAATTGGGAAATAATGCCTGGATGCAGGATATTATCTCAATTGCATGGTCCGAAGCTCATGATATCAATTACTGGATTGTCTGATCCAGGCTTGATTATTTACAGACTGCCATCAAATAGCTGGAATATTGATGAGTGTGGTGTTAAACAAACAAAAAACGAGAAAAAAAGGTTAGGGACAGAGCATTGCTTCAAGACATACAATTGTTTTTATCTGAAAGGAGGAGCAAAACAAAGTATTTTTGTTGGTACATTCCATTCAGAACATCCAGCAGGCCCAGTGAACAATTATATTTTGTTTGTAAAACCTAAAGCAAACAGATTATCTTCAAAAACAATTTGGGAACAAAACATTTTGTTACAAAAAAATCCAAGGCTGCTACCAGAAAATACAACAGTCAATCCCTATTTCCTTTCAGTTTCTTATAATATCAATATCTCTGAAAGCTAACCCATAAACATTCCAATCAACTTTTTGTACAATCCAAAGAAACCAATAAAATCTACCACAGGTGTGTGTGTGGACCTTGGCCTGGCAAAAGGGTTTCCTTGAGGTTGAATGGAGATCTCGAGGTATATGTGATTAGTGTCTTTCAATAAATCAACACTTCCACTGAGCCGAAGAGATAAATAACCCACAGCAATAAGTGATGGTGTGATTGCCCCAGTGGTCACCTAGACATCCAATGCTGGGACTGAGGAGGGACAGATTAACAGGTGCTTGTTCATGTGGATGGTCTTGGGCTGGTGGAAGGCAGGAATTTCCTGGTATTAGTCATGTGGTCATCTTCTGGGCTGATGGTCAGTGACAAAATGCCCACTGGGCACATACTAAGCTGTGATAAATGTGTGGTGGCTGAGGTACAAGTCCTTAGGTCAGCCGTGAGTGACCAAGAGCTGTAGGGGGCACCTGCTGGCATGGATGAGGATTTTCAGGGATTACTGGCTTCAGGTCAGCTGGACATCACAAGGCAGTGATGAGTGAGTGAGAGAGTCAGGCATATCCTGGCATGTGGTAATTAAATGTGAGGGAAGTGCAAAGTGAAGCAGGTCTTAGGCATTACCTTTTTTGTGAAACCCACAAGGAATATGTACTCATCTGAAGAATACTTTGTTGACAAAGGACACTGTTTTGGGCTCTTGAATGTACGAACAAAATTCTTCCTGAAAGCTAACTACATTTTTAAGAGTTATGTTGCTTGTTATAAACTGAACAAAAAAGTTATGGATCAGGAGGCCACACTTTTTAAATTTTATGTTTCACACATTTATTCCAGCTTTTCCACACTAGGTCGGAAGAATTAAAAAAAAAAATTAATAGCTATGTCAATCATATATTTATTTATAAGAAAGTCGTTCTGCCATGGGGTTAAAACTGCAGCTGGACCTGAAATTTATGTATAACATTTTATATTGTATAAGAAAATCTATATTACTAGCGAGAGACATAATAACAATAATTATTTTAATGTTTAATTTATTTCTTTTACAGCCGCTTTTCAAATGTTTCAGTAGGGATGGCTGACCCATGAAACTAAAAATAAAAAATGGTGTGGCCTGAATATTTTTAGGGATATTTCTTGTTGTGAAGAGTGAAGACTAAGCTCACAATTTCCGAAAAATCTCCAAATATTCATCATCCCTAACTTTTCTTTGTTCAAATTAAATGAAACATGGTTTATATATCAGAGAGAGAGAGAGCATTACTTGACTAATTTTAAGTCAAACATGGCATTTGGAACCTTTGGGACATACACTGAAATTAGTTTTTGCATGGGATGATATGCTGATGATATGTGCACAAATAATAAACCACTCAGCGTTTACATATTGTAGATCAGTCCCCTTTTCAACTTGACCCAAAACATTGTTAACCCTGAGTACTTATTTCAAGCTAAAACATGAATGTCCATTCTGTCATCCAACATTTATAGGTGCACACCTGGCCAATTACCTGACGTTAATTATTAATTATTTGACAGAGAAAGGCTCTCCTGCTTCATCATCTGGAAATGGAGACCAATCCTGATGAAAATAGATATAATTCTGCCAAGGAACAGTCTATTCAGTAATACTTGTACATCCACGATCATATCAAAGTACAGGATTATCGTCCAGAAACAATTGAGTTCACAGTTATGAATTTACCATTTATGATTTCATGACATGGCAGATTAACCATGGTAACATGGTCTGTCTGGTTCAGACATAATTGTTACATATCTTGAATATTGCTGAGTGTGGGCATTAAACAACAAACAAAACAACATAAGTAGATGAAGGTCTCCAGGTATAGTATCACGACCATCTTAATCTGTCCTGGGCTGATCACAGTTCCATACAATAACACACATGATTCCCATGATATTTGCTGGAAAGATCAATGTAAATCTGTACACAAGCTATACACAACACTTGTGCCCTCTAGACCAGTGCACCTATCTTCATAAGAGTGTTCATACTAGACTAACACTTAGTCAATGAAAACATTTCTTTAAAATATTTTAAATTTTTTTCTTCGAAAGAACCTTTCCTCTTCTGTATGTTCTGTGGAATTAAGGAAACAAGACCCGGTCTCAAGTGGGCATTTTTGTACAATATAATTCTTGATTCTCTATATCACATACATGTATTAGGAGAATGGTATATTCTAAGGAATAAATACTAACACTGGATTGGCTGGTTTCTAAAAGAAGATCTTAAGGTCAGGCTTTTATTATTCTAGGTTTGCTGATTCTCATTTTAGGAATAAATGTCTGTAGCATGATACAATATTTATTTGTCTTTTGTGATATAACTAGGTTGTGTTTTAAGGTGTTTTAGCAATATTCCAGTCATATCATCATAGGGTACTCCAAGAATGTGCTTCACTGAACCCCCATTGAGACTCAATGGTCTTCAGTGAGTCTAACCAACACTGGAACCACTGAGCTATCTACAGTCCCTCATTTAACAATCTGACGTAAATAATAAGGCTATAAATACATTCTGTTTTGATAAAAATATTTTTTTCACTCAATAACTGTTTTCACCAAAATGCTGTGTGTGGCAGAATAAAATAATTCTTTTAAGTTTCTATTGATTTCATTTTTGTAAATAAAGGTCAACAGATATGTACATCAAAAGTGTTGTCTCCTGCAGAATTCCACATCCTGTTCACGGACATCTGTTAACATTCTGAAGGGCAGCACACTTCAACACAACTTAACTACAATATATCATGTCTTTTCTGCAAACAATATTTTGAAAACTATCTGTAAAGTACACAAGCAACATTTAATCCTGTCCAGTAATTACAGTGGTTGTGTGAAGCATATGTCAAATCCTTGTGAAGTCTGGCTGGTGTTTGATGAAGTTACATAACTCCCGGAAGCCTGGTGTTTATCTGCCCCAAGCCATGCATCCACACGGCTCCTCTCTCCCTGGCTCAAGCCTCCCTTTCCCAATCCCCGTCCATCCACACAACTCCTCCACCACCTCCTCCCCCTCCCCTTCCCAATCCCCTCCCGCAACTCGTCCTCCACAAATACATCTTGTTTACCTCAGGAAGACAGTTCGCTCTTGGCTCCATCAAACCAAGAGCTGAGCATGCCTTATTGTTACTTGTTTACAAATCTATCACTCCAAAATTTAATCACTGGGGAACAGTGTTTGAAATAATTTTAAAACTCAACAAGACAGTCGGGCAGGTGACCATTAAGTGTCTCCTGCCCGTCTTCAAAGTTACCTTCCCACATTCAGGCATTATAAAAATTAAAAAATCGCAGAAACTAAGAGACAAATCACATCTTGATTCAGTTGAAATAATGCAAACAATTCCTTGAGAATCTAAGAGGAATGATAACAAAACTGAATACATAAGTAGTCTATAAATTATCTGCCAGACCGATAGACAGGTGGAGGAAAATTTCATGCAGCCCGACAGAAAAGTTACCAGCCACAGGCAGACAGGCAAGCAGTTATTTTGCACACTGTTGGGGAATAAAATAACATTTTAGAACAGCCTTCAATTTTCTTCCTGCTAAATCTGTTAGCATACTTCCATAATAAGAAGCCCTTCTGAGTAGATGGGGCAGTCTTTTTACTTCCCATTCAAGGAAACATTCTCAGAAGCACATTTCTTTCACTACCCATCTATTTATTTCATCCTAACATCCATACATTTAATTGGGCTCTATGAAACATAGAGATTTTTGCATTTTCACGTCACTTATTTAATAAACTATAATATGTAAACAATGTAATAAACAAGGGATATTCAGGCAAGTATATCAGGATTTAGTACACATGGTATAATGGTCAAACTTTTGTTACCTATATTTCTTGTATCCAGGTTATATATGACATCATTTGGTATCCATGGTAACACTCCAAGTATCTGTATTCCTTTGACTCAATGATCTGCAACAAAAAGAAAATCAATTACCACAGGGACATAAAATCATTGAAGGAAGTAACAAAGGGTACAATTACCTACATCAGTTGGTGTGAAATATCTCCCTCGGGCAACATGCTGGGAGAAGTCAGGGACTCTAGCTGAAGGGTAAAACAAGCTAAATGAGAAGTCGTAGTGCTGGAGAGAAAGCATGGGAAGGGATGGGAAATGCGAGCTGGTGCTGAGAAATCTGAGTAAATCTGGGATTTGAACCATGGTTATGGGTAAGGAGCACACCCAAGGGACACAACTCTGCACAGTCTCAGGCAAGTGGACCACCCATGCCCGAGAAAGACAAAGGAAAATGGACTTCACATTCTTGTCAGAGGTGCTGGAATTATGTGACACTGTGCTACAACAACCAACAAAGATGTCTGTCATTGAAAAGAAAAGGGTTCTAATTATTAATATGTTCTAACCAACTTCTTACACGACCTTGCCATGCCTCTATGTGCGTCCCTCCACACTCACAGAAATTCATGGACACTCACAGACATTCCTGCATGATCAAGAGTGTGGGTGAGGAGATATTCCCCTTTTCAGCCCCACAGCAGCATAAACAGGGATGTAAATTGGGCAATCCTTAGCTTTTTTGAGTAGTATATGTCATAACTATGTAGGCTAGTATAATTAAAAGTTTCAGGATAAGTTGCAGCCCTGCTAAGGGTAGACTTGCATAAGTCTCTTAGGAAATTATTATTAGTTTACATAATAATTCCTGGTTTTCCTAATAAAAGACTGGCATCCGTGATGTACGATCCACTTATTTAGACCTGTCTAACATAAGGATAAAATTACTACCTGTATACCTTCATGGACTTAATATTCAGTACAGCCTTGGAGAAAGGCTATGCTATGGAGGACACCTTAAGAATGGGATTAGCATTGTACACATTAGTGAATTTTGAGCCTTGGACTTCAGTGTGACAGGGAAATAATATGGAAGTAATATTACCCACAGGCATGATAGGAAACTGATATGGGTGAAATATTTTCAGAAAATGTCAGTATCACATCACAATTTTTGCTTCATGCTGGGTGGTGAGTTTCTTCTAATTGTTCCAATGTTCTCAGTGTTTTCAAACAGGCCAATAGTAATGATACATTATATGAACATATTTTCACAAATAATTGAAGCTGAAGTCCTCCATTGTTCAAAAGGTTTAATGTATACTCATGTCTACATTGGTGATCAGGAAACACATTTTTACAACGTTGATATGTCTTAAAGATAATGGGTAATATAAAGAATAACCAACTCAAAATTGGGAGTTATGGATTATGTGTACCTCAGGAAGGCTTTGAACTTATGTTCGACTTGATTACAAAATTTGATCACTCAGGTCAAATAAACAGAAATTCCCTGAAGCTCACAGATTATACTCTAAATACACCACTTCCTGATATGTGTCATTAAAGTGATGCAAGGTCAAACAGACTACTGCTCCTACATATGTAGGTGTCAGTATGCTAATGAAGACACTCGCCATCATCTATCTAAACTGCAGTCACCCAGGCAACGAATGCTGCTCTCCACCACCCAGGCGTCAGCTCTTAGAGAGTGAGTTGAGCTTAACACAGATTTGAACAGTATTCCAGTTACATCACTGCATGTCAAAATGATGTTGGAGGCAAGACCGAAGTTATGCAAGTCTCAAACGTTCATCACTTTAGTAAAATCCAAAGCATGGGTATAGCACTCACAAAACTAGAAACATAATCTGGGTGCACCCATTTCCTACATGCTATCAGTTTGATATCAATGGCAAATATGACCTGTTCCACACAAATTACAACTGTGGATGTCAGGGAGTTGATCTCCAGTAATTGAGACATCAATCATTTCATTCGATCTGTTACATCCTGCTTCAGGTTATCTTGGTGTGTTATCAATATCAATATTAATATTAACTTGATGTATATATGGCAAAGTTGTAAACGTAATGCCTTCTACTAATGCTCACACACAGCATCAGTAACAATGACAGTATCACAGGTATGACAATACATGTATACTGAAACCCCTCTGTACATGATTTCAGTCATTGATAACATGAAGAAGTATCTAAAATCCGTGAACCATTTAGTAACCTGGTACCTGCTGCCATGCTCATTGTTTTCAGATGATCAGAGAGACACTGCCTCCTACATCAGGGACCATTAATCACATTACCTAGAGCGATTCAGTAAACATAGGAGCATACCCATACACGCCCTGTGTATTAAAATCATTACAGATCCTGTGGGGACCTGGGTTACAATCAATCCTCAGCATTTGTTATAAGAGGCTTTGTTGTTTATTTGTTTGTTGTTTATCGCCGCACTCAGCAATATTCCAGCTATATGACGGCGGTCCGTAAATAATTGAGTCTGGACCAGACAATCCAGTGATTGACATCATGAGCATTGATCAATTTGGATACGATGACATGCATCAACCAAGTCAGCAAGTCTGGCCACCCAATCACATTAGTCACCTCTTATGACAAGCCTGTTATGGCAAGCATGGATTACTGAAGACCTATTCTTCCCTGGACCTTAAGAGGCAACAACTCAGTTGGATCTGGTGGTCAGGCTTAGTGACTTGCTTGATTGTGTGTCATCGTACCAGACGATGTCAGATGATGGTCACAATAGTAACTACTGGTTAAACCATCTATCAGCACCACTTCTAATGCTTAACACAATACACAGAAGTCAACAATATGTGTCGTGATACTTTTGTTTCATCCACCATTGAGAGTGACCAGCATACTTGCACAGGTTTTCAAAAGACCAACTGGACAATTGGCTTTCACAAGAAATTATAATACTTCCTACACTGTGATACAAATCACCGATCAAGACTGACGTTGAGGCACTGACTAACCTTGTCCCACCAGTACGTTCTGGTGATGACTCCATGAACAAACTCCACCCACAGCATATCCCACAGCATTAACTCAAACAGTACCATCCACCTCCAGGTACAAGCCCCTTCACCACGCTGATCCTGCCCTAACCACCACAAGGGTTACCCTAACATTAGCTCACTTGGTCATTGCCAGCCTGAATCTGGGTCAAGTGAGTCCCCTAAGGGTATTTAATAACATTCCATATGGAGGCAACAAAACACCTCTATGTGTGATGACCGCATCACTGCACACACTTCCTGAGGGAGGTACAGCGATAGTAGAAAGCATAAGGCAACATAGCTGACTGCAAGAGACCGTCTCACCATTTCTGAAGTGGAATAGTTGGATACGAAAACATTAAGTGTCTTTCATTTAAAAGCCATGTATGAATGAACAAAAGACATTAAATTAGCTGAAGAAGGTCATTCACTCCTACCAAACCACAGTTGAGCAATGAATCTGTCTTCGAGAAATTTCATACTAAGGCATATTAAAATGGTTTTGAGGTCCATTCTCAACTGATTTATCATTGTGTGGCTTCTGAATCTTATTCCAGCAGTTGAGGATTCAAGAAAGTAGTCTGTTTCTGATCTTAAGAATATGATAAACAGTGTCAGCCATCCTTTATTTACCCTGTGAGGATTCTGAGGCCAATTAGTTCCAAGGACTTCATGCTTGTCAACTAAGGGGATTGGTTGGTCTTAATGTCTGACCTGGCAGATTGCATGTCATCTGCAACATTTGGAATCCTTGTTTATGGCTATAAATCAATGTCAACATGGCACGATCCAAGTGTAACAACAGGTGGTGCCATTTTGATGTAATGAACTGAATAAGGCTAAATAATAATTTCACAGCTATATGCAGTCTGCTGAACTACTTGCTCTTACCTTGAGGTTAACATCTCACACTTCAGTCTGAATATTTTCTTTGATCTGAACCCAGTCCACCCCAAGTAAAGCTAAGGGTACATGTGCATCACAGTGGTCTTCTACCTCACACTTCTCCCCTGCATGTAACAGTCCCATACACTCTGAGACTGACAAGACTTCACCACAGTGATTCAATCACTTCCAATGAGACAATGAGGGTTGTGACTGACACTGGGAAGGGTCTGCCAGATCCCAGGGGATCAGGTTACCACTGGATGTGACTTTCCTTATCTTCCGCTGATACCCCTGAGGTTGAGGTGAACCCTAAAGGCCTCATCTGATACTGGGATACTTCAGAGTAAATTTGGTTAAGGTAATCATGGTGATGAAGAAGATCTGTATTGGCATGATTGGAGCACAACTGTCTCAGTTAACACCAGCGTTGTTCATATACCATGTGTACACCACAAGAGTTTTGTTGTGGGATGACAGACAAATGCATAATTATTAACACAAACTAAATCGTTGGGACCTCATTTCATTGTCACATACATAAGTGGTATCAATGACTACTGATGTATTCAGTTACAGGATATCTGGTATCGTTCATGAGAGATATTTAAAGCTACATAGTTCAGCAATGTCTAGCAGCTAATTGTTCATGTTGATGTAAAGAACTTCAAAGGGTAATTAATGTAAACAATTCAGAATCTCATTATCACTATGCAAATCCATGATGAGAAAGAAATTCAATTAATTTATGAGGGACTGAGTATGGTTTTACACCACTTTTAGCAATATTCCAGCAATATCACCACTGGGGACACTAGATATAGGCTTCACACATTGTACCCATGTCGGGAATCGAACCCGGGTCTTCAGCATGACGAGTGAACGCTTTAATCACTAGGTTACCCCACCACCCCCGATAAATTTATGAATAGCGATACTTAATTAATAAGTCTCAGTGCTCACTTTTATCTGTACCCTAGTGTATCCTATTACACACTGTAATCACTGTATCCTCACATACACATTATTCACACAGCGAGGACATCACTTCACCCTGGCCTCTCAGCTTACATTGTTGTCTACATACCTCACTAATGGACTCAAAGTCTAAATGTAGACATTACAAAGTCCATCAGGTAGGATGACAGCCAAACACAGGCAACCACTTGGCTGCTGCCCTTGCAGTAG